CACTTTAATTGGTCGGGATAAAAGATAAGATATCCTGTCCATCTTTTTTATACGATCTTATATTAGTTAAAAATATCATACATATACACATAACACAATGATACTCTAAGAATATTCTATTGAATAACTTTTCCAGACATCATATAGTACTTATCACATTCAAAAACTAAAATTTAGTTTATACAATTTTTTTTGGAGACTATTAACTACTTTTTCTTATTCGGTAGCATTAGTGCTCCACGTGTCTAATGTCTATACAAATCCCATTATTTAACCATTCAATATAGTTTTTTTTGGATAAAAAATCCGTGTGTAGCATTTTCCATTCATAAAAAAATGATAAACGGTACACTTAAATTTAAATCTTATATGATACAAGTCACACTTAAAATATTAATATAGTTCATACATTTCATTCTATATATTAAAAAAAAAAAAAAATCTTTTTTTTTTATTTTTTTTTTTTTTTTGAACATATAGCATTATTACACAGTCTTTTCTCCTCACTTTTCCATTCTTCTCGCCCCATCTTCACTCTCCCCATCCATGGCTGAACCACCCCTACCTCCTCCTCCCACATACACTCCCATCCTCACCACACCATCATGTCTTGACCAATCACCTCTTGATCCAAAAACCCTTGAATTCAACAACATTGCAGTGATCATTGCAGCCATGCTTTGTGCCTTCCTCTGTGCCTTAGGCCTCAACTCCACCCTCCACTGCATCTTCCAGTGCACGCAACGCGCGCTAACCGAGCCTGTCGAGTGGGCTGCCTCACGCCGGCTGAACTCAGGCCTCAAGAAGAAAGACATGGTGGCTCTTCCAACTTCAACCTATGCCAAATCAAGCTCATCTCCACCAACATCAACCTCAGTTTCTTCAAGTTGTGCCATTTGTTTGGGAGACTTTTGTGAGGGAGATGAGATAAGAGTGTTGCCAAAATGTGAGCATAGGTTCCATGTGGGTTGCATTGATGAATGGCTTCTCTCTCACTCCTCTTGCCCTACTTGCAGGCACCAACTCAAGTCCAACAAGTGTGTGCCATGTTTGGAGATTGTCACAGCTTCATGAATTCAGCCAGGGGATCATCTCTGTTGCTCTCTCTGTTCCATCTTCTGTTCTATATTCTTTGAGCCTTTGATTTTAGTGATGGGACAATATGAGATGAATATGAGACAGAGAATGGAACAGAGTAGCACAAATGATTCTTGCTCTCGTGAACCTGTATTTATCGCAATAGTTTAGTTTTGGGAATGGCTTCTCCCAAAAGACTATCCAACTAGAGAAGTGCTGTTTGGGCTTGGTGGGTTGTTATCAGGTTAATTTTAATGGTTTAAACTATTCATCTTTATAGGATTTGTCATTCATGCAAAAAAAAATAAAGTTAGTAAATCAGATATTGATAACTATATAATTGGATTATGTTTGTTTTACAAAGTTAGATATCAAGTATGATTTTGATATTCTATTTATTTTTATAATATAAATGCAATCTAATTAATTTGACTTTTGCATAGATGATATTCTTGATAGATCTCATAAGATGAATACTTCTGATCACCAAGGTAAGCCCATGTAAGCCACCAAGTCCCCATAACCCCTCAGTTGAATCACCAACTAGAGAGAAGCATAACTCCTCGGTTTTGTAAGTTGCAAGTTGGTGCATTTGATTTCAATTTTTTGAATTCATTTTTTAAAAATTATATTTTTTATTTTTAGTGAATATTTTTAAAATTTTAAGTATTTTTTTTTAACTTTTTTAGATGCACCTTACTTAGACGTATCTAAAAAGTAAAATATTTGTAAAAAAATACTTTAAAAATTTAATAAATACACAAAAATACAAAAATATATTGAATTTTCACATTTTTTTATATTTTTGGTATTTAGTAAATTTTTGAAAAAAAAATTTATAAAAATTATACTTTTTAAGTACATTTATATTATGTGTGTCTAAAAATTAAAAAATTACTTAAAATATTAAAAAAAATCAGTAAAAACAAAAAAAAAATAAGAAAAATAAGAAAGTAGAATTTTTTAAAAAACTGAAAACAAACATGGTGAGATTTTAAATTTTTCTCAAGTCTTGCACTAAATTTTATGAGCTTCTATTTCTACACATCTTCTCAAAGTACAGGCATTGAATTTCAAATTTGTTATTTTGCTCAATACACAACTCACCTTGTCAAAAATATCCCCATCTTCAACCTTCGAACTCTAAAATATTACTTTTTTGCCGATCCAAAAAACAAAAAAAAGAACCTATTAACTACCGTTAATCAACCATCATTGACCTCCCCTACCAACCACTTCCCCACCCTCTGTCCTATCATATCCTCACCCTCACATTTCCCCAACCACCACAACCAACCCAACCCCTTCCCCGCCATGGTTGGCCTGCGGTGCTTAGAGAGAGAGGGGAAAGAAGTTTGTTGAGGGTGGTGAGGATGTTTGTAAAGAAAGGATTGTGGTGATGGAGGGCTTTGAGAGGGGAAGGGGATTTGAGGCAGTGTTAAGGTTCACCGGGGTTCGCAATGCAGGGTGGTTAGCAAAGGTGGATGGTGTATGTATAGAGAAATTGCATTTTTTTTAAATTGTCCAAAAGGATAATTTGATCAAGGAATAAAATCTTAATTTTAAAAAAATAAAATAAAAATGAACAAGCGTGTAAACCGAGCATTTGTTTTACATCTAGATTTTTTTAGATTTGGACATTAACTTCATATATATGAACAAGTTGGACATTCAAAAATCAAGATTCCGGTAGCCAATAAATAAATCAAGATTCCGATATTTGACTGTAAATAAAGAAGGCTATGGATTGTTGTACTCAAAATTCATATTCTCTTGTACTCAATACATTCCCAAGTATATGATGTAGTGAGAATTAAAATAAAAGTATCCTGAAAAACAATCATAATTCAATCAATTCTATGCAGGCTAAAAATTAGAGAAATGCAAATCACCTACTTCCAAAAGAAATCAAAGAACTAAGTGGAAATACTACAAGGGCCATTAGTTCTTTTTTCTCTGACAAATGAACAAAATTTCATTTGAGTTGAAATCCTATTGAAAGGTCCACTAGAGATAAAAAATTGTTGAAGAAGCAACAAGATCTTTCTTCTGTCCCCTACAGACAGTCGAATAAATACAAGAGAACATTAATTTCACAACAAAGTTAAAACCTTAAATTCACAAAAATATTAATCACATTCATAATTTAAATTAATCATATGTAACCTACTTACATGTATCCTCCAAAGCTCAAAACTATGAGAGTTCCAAGTCACCTAGGGTTACATAAGTAACCATTTCTTGGCCCTATATTGAGGTTGACATCCAACAAGAAATGTTGGAATCATAGCACAGTATATGAGTTGAATTTGGAGAAACTCAAGGGGAACAATATTGGGCAAGTGGGCAATCTTTAATGGTAAAGATCAGCCAAGCAATGGGCCAACCTAATGGAATAATCTTTTCTTAGTAAACAAAAGAACAAACTTTGATTGGATTAGATCAATTTCATGGAACAAAATCAAAATTCAATGGTCCAAAAGATTTCTATTGGTCACTCGTGATCTTGAATGAGTATGTCTTTTACAATTTAAGCATGCCTCTACCACCCAACTTGGGCAACTAGTGTTGTTAGTGGAAAGGGTTTACACTCCTCGTCGAGGTCAAAAATGAGTATAATCATCATTATGTCTAATATTTATATTTTTGGATAAAAATTTGATGACCAAATGATAAGGATGACCCAATGGCAATACTAATACAGACGAATAGTAACAAGAGGCAAACTAGATAAATTTACAAGATTCGACACAGACAAGACACAAATAAATAAACAAAAATACAAAAACTCAACTGAAATACCCAAAACATGAAAAAGTCCTCGTTTCCCTACTCGAGCATAACAAAACCTTAAAATAAACACCTATGTGGTAACTAAGCCCTGAAACAACCACCCACCTACTAGCTCACTATTGGTGTCTTTGAGCCCTGAAGCCACACCGGTTCCCCTCTAACTTGAATTCTTCTATTTCGTCTATATCTTTATAAATCCTCTCAATCTTGCCGAGAATTCCCATAAGCTTCCTATTTTCAGGCAAATCCCAAAAGTTCTAGTACTCAGGATAACCTCACAAATCAAAATCCCTAATAAGTTTTAGACAATCTAACCCGACCCGACCCATTCTAAATATATGTAAAAATCTAAAAATATGAGTCCTGCAGAATACAAGACACTCAATAACAATATCGATGCAACAAAGTGAAATCCTTGCAAAAGCTCCTCACTCACATGATTTCATAAACCTCTGGAATTCAAATTGGTATGAGCATCGGTGTCCCACTTTGGAAAACTAATAAATCCAGTAATCTTAGCATGTAATTTCACATCGGCAATCTTGCCTCTACTCTAGTGAGCTCTAACTGCCAAGTGCTTTGTAACTATATGATGCCAAGCGGCTATTAAGAAATTTGTTCACTATTCAATTGATCCATAAACTAGAACATATGGGGAATTGCTTCAAAAGAGAAGAACAACAGTTTCAAGAAGAAGATAGAGAGTACAAAGAAAAGAACAAGGGTCGCAATCTTAACACAAACAGCCACAGCTTTAAACACAACATTGTTATTCCAAAGCTAAACAAATAGATTACAAAAGGACTTGTTTATAGGCATCCAAAAACCCTAATTATAAAGTTACAAAAAATAAAATATATCTCAAATAAAAAATAAAACTAAAATTAATTATTATAGCCCTAACCCTATTTCATCAACCAATTCCTTTCCATTCCTCATCACTATCCCTCCAAGTATTTAGTTCGCCTAGTAACTGAACTTCCTCCACAATGATAAGTAAAGTCAGAAGAAAATCTCAAGACTAGTAGAACACACCAAGATATTAACAAAAACACTTCATATCAAAAGAGTTCTCTCATCAAGTTGCATAATTATAGTGAAGTGGAAAACAGAAGTATAAAAACCACATATTTAACAAAGGGGCAAATTCCTGCATTTTAATCCTGTAGATTCAAGTAAATTTGTTTTTTCAGTACTGATGACATAAGTTACCGTGCCCAACTTCCATTCTTACACCAAAAACAAAAAAGTACGCAAAAAAATTCCAACTCTGACAACAATCTATGTTTTGCAAACTCGCACACCTGCAAAGTTGTCTACACTGGAAAGCATACTTATAACCTTAAAGTGAACAACCAGAAGAATACCCATCCAATCATGGATGAACATAATGAAGAAGCTCATTCTTCATCTTCCTCATCATAATACTCTTCTTCACTGCTGTCAACATAATAGTACTCATCATCATCCTCATCACCTTCCTCATATACGAGTCCTTTTATATTTGCCTTTGTCAATAGTCGCTCTTGTATTTGGTCTCTGATGGCTGTTCCCTGATAAAAACCCAAAATGTATGATCAAAATTAAAAATGTAATCACCTCAACTATGCTAACTGTGTATATTGGTCTGTCACCAATTCGCTGAAGTCTGAATCCTCCACTTTGTGCATGTGTGCATCCCTTTTTTGGTGGTTTGGGGTACAGGGTGCTCACCATTTTATGGCAACCTTCTTCAAACATTTCAAGGAAACCAGCAACCATGCGATCAGCATTCTCCACCCATATATTACGATGCTTTGCTACTACCTGTATCTGCAATATTGAAGTTGAGAAACACATTCATTGAATTCTCCAAAAGCCATCAGTTGTAACTTACTCTGTAAAAATTCAATGTATAAAGAGAATTGTATTATTGATTGATGTATGTTATATTGATTATGTTTACAATGAGTCCTATATATAGAAGATTAGAGGAGGTAGGTATGTAGTAGGTGGAGTAGTAGGT